TACCAAACTGGCGACTTTTGGTAATACTTTAATGTATCTAACACTCCGTGGAGATCCATGAGTGAAGAAATAATCCCAGTACCAAACTGGCGACTTTTGGTAATACTTTAATGTATCTAACACTCCGTGGAGATCCATGAGTGAAGAAATATCCCAGTACCAAACTAGTGACTTTTGGTATTGCATTAGTGTATCTAACACTCCGTGGAGATCCATGAGTGAAGAAATATCCCAGTACCAAACTAGTGACTTTTGGTAATACTTTTGTGTATCTAACAATTCGTGGACAGCCTTCATTGAAGAAATATCCCAGTACCAAACTAGTGACTTTTGGTTTTGTTTGTTTTTTTATATATTTCGCGCAAAGCTACACGAAAGCTATCTGCGCTAGTCGTCCCTAATTTAGCAGTGAAAGACTAGAGGGAAGGTAGCTAGTCATCCCCACCCACCGCCAACTCTTGGGCCACTCTTTTACCAACGAATAGTGGGACTGACCGTCACTTATAACGCCCCCACTGCTGAAAGGGCGAGTATGTTTGGTGGAACGGGGATCCCAACCATCAACCCTCAGATTGCGAGTCGAGCACCCTAACCACCTGGCCATGCCGGGCCTATGTGACCTTTGGTATTGCATTAGTGTATCTAACAATTCGTGGACAGCCATCACTGAAGAAATATCTCAGTACCAAAGTAGTGACCTTTGGTATTGCATTAGTTTATCCAACACAAGTCGTAAATGGTCATTATTGAACAAGATACCTTTGTTATGATACTGGAAAGTTTGTGATTATAATTGTTTAAATGTGTACCAGCGATTTATGAATTGTAACTACTGGACAAATATTTAGCAAAGTCAATTGAAACAATCAAGTGTAAAGTCAAGTGTAATATCCTCAAATGATGAGCTTACGCCTAGTCAAATGACTAAGAAACCACTTAGTTATTTTCATAACAGTAAGCGTATCAAATTCTTGTGGAAAAAACAACAACATATTTATTTACAGATAAGATATCTTAGAAAGAAATCTAGACTAACTGTCACAATGGTTACGTTACTTCTTATAAAAACTCAAACTACACGAATATTCTAAAGCTGCTTATCTAGTGAGTGAAATACACAAAAGTGTATAGGAATTTAATTACAGAATTGAGAAAAATATAGACGATTGTACGTTTTACAAATATTTGTTTACTTACGTCGATGATTTCGCCAGTAGAAGCATCATTGTCAAGAACCGAATACTTCAAGTATTAATTACATAAACACTGGTCTGATTTGAATCTCGCGCAAAGCTACACGAGAGCTATCTACGCCAGCCGTTCCAAGCAGTGATAGACTACAGAGAAGGCGGTTGGTTAGTCAACGCCACCAACCGCCATCTCTTAGGCTACTCTTTTTTAACATCGAATAGTGGGATTGTTCGTAACATAATAACGCTTCCTCAGCTTATATAAGAATTTAATAGTGTTAACACATATATTAAATCAAATTAATGTAGCTACAGGACGATCGGTCTCTCTTTTTTTTTAAATCGGAGAACTGTTATACTCTTGTAGTGTCTACCGAGTATACACAAAAATGTGCAATTAATTGACAAGTCTGTTGAAAATATTTAAAACGTACGAGAGAATTTCGATGTGATTTTGATTGGATAATTATTCACCAATAGTAGTCCACCTGGTGAGTTTTATAGACGATTTTACTGGTTTGAAAAGTCTTCGGTAAATAAAGAATTACTGTTTGGATTCAAGGAATTCGTTGATTGCGGAACTGGCTAAAACAACTGTCAGCACTCCAGTTTGGATGGAATTTATCAAAGTGTTAGATCTCAAGTAAATATTCTAAGGCGGAAAATAAAAGTTTTACAACGTACTGGGAGTTCAAAAGTGTGAAATTACAAGATGGCGGTTTAAAACGGACAAATAAATACACAAAGTATGTAATATATATAAAACGTTTATTACTTTGGATTTAAAAAATACATTCTTTAGATTGATTGATTGATTGTTTGGAATTAGGCACAAAGCTGCACAATGGGCTATCTGTGCTCTGCCCACCACGGGTATCGAAATCCGGTTTCTAGCGTTGTAAGTCCGTAGACATACCGCTGTGCTACTGGGGGGCATTCTTTAGATGACTGACTGAAAAATTAATGAAAATATTAACGTTTTTTTTGTATTTAAAGAGCCAGCTTTCAAGGAAAACACGTGGAGTTACGTGTTGGGTGTATGACATTTGATATCATTCGTGACGTTCTCAACTTTGAAATACCAAAACTGAATCTTACTGCTACTATTATAAATATTGTAACGACGAGGATGTACTTAGAATTAATGTGAAAATAATTTATCTATTGCCTTCTGACTGATTGCTATTTAAACTTGTTATTCAAAGCTTCTGTTGAACTATTAAGAATTGAAACCATAACAACATAAATAAGTAAAACATGATTCTTTACTATATAATTGTGAACAGGTTGTACAGATCACGATAAGACAAATAATAATCTAAATTATATTTCTCTTTCGTGTCTCAGTGTAGTTTATCAAGTGAGAAGAATATATAGCATCATTTAATAACGTACCTGTTTGACCTGTGGACATATTAAGCTGTTCTCCGGATAATATTGTTACACTCGTAAAAATATTGTTGTAAACAATGAATCACACGTTGGTGTATTTTAACTTATTATTGAAAATGTTGTATTTAGTGTTTAGCTAACCAAGGTTACAGCATCATTGAATCGTAAACGGAAAAGTTTTCACAAGATGTGATGTCATGGTTACTGTTCGACGCGGAAGCAAGGAATTTTTGATTTAAACAACAAAATATGGCGTTTTGG